TCTTTTTTTTTGAGATTGAGTTTAACTCTTGTTGCCCAGGCTGGAGTGCAGTGGCACGATCTTGGCTCACTGCAACCTCTACCGCCCGGGTTCAAGCAATTCTCCTGCCTCAGCCTCCCAAGTAGCTGGGATTACAGGTGTGCGCCACCATGCCCAGCTAATTTTGTATTTTTAGGAGAGACGGGGTTTCTCCATGTTGGTCAGGGTGGTCTTGAACTCCCAACCTCAGGTGGTCCGCCCACCTCAGCCTCCCAAAGTGCTGGGATTACAGGTGTGAGCCACCGTGCCCAGCTAGAAATTCCTTTCAAATCCATCCACCTGATTGGAGAGCTGGCCTTTTCACCTGCACTCTTGATCACTGCACCCTCACCATCATCAGGCAGTGTGATACAGAAAGCCCTGTCTGCTCTTCGGTAGCTGAAGGGAAGGTTCTCAGCTACTCCCCAAGCCCTCGCCTATCAGGGCCTGCAGTCCCAGCTCTGGGCAGCAGGCAAACATCTTTCCCAGAGCAACTTTCTGGGGCACCCGGGTCTGACTTGCAAAGCCTGAGAAAGGAGAAAGGGAGGATGCCAAGAAGGCATGGGGTTATGCCCTTACCTGAACCACAGGAAGGGGACCGCCCTGCGCCAGCATACCGGCAGCTGCTCTTCCAGGGACAGGAAGTCAGCTGAGTACCGAGCAAGCCGCGTGCCCCTGTGGTCGGGGGGTGGGGGCACCTGGGCAGTCAGCTGGGCCATCTGCCACTCTTCCGGGCCACACTGGTTCCCACGCTCATAGGCCAGATGGAGTGGGGATCGGGAGCCAGGGGGAAACCCAGTTTGTATCCCAAGACTCCAAATTGGCTCCCCATCTGTACAATGGGGGTAACAACAGCTCCCGTTTTCTTAGGTGATTGTGACAGTTCATTGACAAAATGTGCACATGGCGTAGTACATAGTGAGTGCTCAGTCAACACTGTCCGCTCTGATGCCCTCCAAAAGGGGCTGAGCACCCCCCCCCCTTTTTTTTTCTTGTAAATAACCTGGCATTTAGGTAGTGGCTCAACCTGCTTAGGGAAGAGGAGCCACCTTCCAGGCAGCCTCATCTGGTCTACTAGCTGTCTCAGGAAATCAACGGCAGCACAGCCCCTCCGCCCCCCAGTATGCACACAGTGGGCCCTGGCAATGGGAGGCAAGTTCTCCCTGAGTCCTCCCTACACCAGAGGCCTCTCTGGCCGGGCAGCCCAACCACAGGACAATCAGGCTTTGGGCCAGGAAGTTACAGTAAGTCAGGCCCGCCCTTCCTCACATGGGGTACGGCTGCTCCCCAGTCCCAAGCCTCGGCTCCCCTAGAGGAAGAGAAGGGGGATCAAGACCCCCTTCTCAACCCTCCCCCATCCCACTGTGCTCTGAATCCCACCCCAAGGGCACACTGGTCTTCCCAGAGATTTTCAGGGGCTGCTTCTTGCTGGCAACTTCGCAGCCCCAGCTGTGCAGGGCAGCTGAAGCCACAACTGAATTCGGGAGGAGAGGCTGACTCACCCCAGCCAGGCTGGGCCTCTGCTAATATTCTTGGGTGGCTGCCTGGGATTCCTGCAGGTTCCGACAATAGGCCCGACCATCCTCTTGTAGGAGGTGGGGTTCAAGGTAACCCCAAGCGCGGGGAGGGGAGCTCTGGCAGGAGTGTTCATGTGTCCAGGACTCTAGGCCTGGGGGCTAGGGGTGACATGGGCACGCCCCCGTCCCCAGGCCTGATGCAGGAGGAAGGAGGTGTGGGACAGGAAAAGAGGACCACGTTTGGAGTACACACGGCACATTACATAATTATTCTAATATAACAAGCCTGGATGGTAGCTATGACTAATCCTTGGTTAATAGGTGAGGAAACCGAGGCCGGGAGAGGTTAAGGAGGTTAGGGGTGGGTGGAGGGCCGGTGAGGGGTGGCGGCTGTGACTGGCAGAGCGTGAGGCCAGGCCCCTTGAAAACTCCCCCTCAGCCTCCGTGTTCACCTAGGCCAACAGCGCGGCCCATGGGCCAGAGAGGCTCAGAGCCCCGGGACCCGCAGGCCACAGGCCTGCATGTGTGAGCGCAGGAGGTGGGGAGGCAGATACCTCATTTTCACAGGACCTTGCGGGATCCGGGCGCAGGCCGGGCGGCTGGGTCCCTTGGGGCCTCCCCTGGCCCCGGCCCCTTCCGCCCACCTCCACGGGATTCTTCCAGTCCATGCCAACCTGGCTTGGGCAGGACAAGGTGATCGAGGCTCAGCGGCCCCTGGTCCCCCAGCCCCACGCCGGGCCCGTGGCCATGACAACCGCGGCGCTGTGGCTCCCTCGCCGGGCAACGCAGAGAGGGGAAGGGAACGCGCCCGGCCGCGCCGCCAGCTGCGAATTCCTCAGGCCTTCCATCAGCCCCGCCGGCCCCGACGGGCTTCCTCGCGGGCTGTGAGGTCAGCGCCCGGCTCCACCCGCCTTGGGCTGGCCCAGTGCCCGGGATCCCGGCCCCGGCCCCGCGCCCCGCCCCCACCCCGCCTGCGGACCCGCCCACCCGGGTCCCCGCGTCCCAGGGCCCGGCCTGCACCCCGCAGCCCCTCCCGGTCCACGCACGCGGGCCCCGGCTCCCCGGCGAGTCCTGCAATTGGGGCGGCCCCTGGCGCCCGCCGCCCGGCCGAGCCCTATTTCAGGCGCTGGCGCTGCGGGCCGGGGCAGCCCTGCCCGGAAGGGAGGCTATTCTGGGCCGGGCCGCCCGAGCAGCTGCGGCCCCGGGCTTCCCGGCAGGGTGTGTGGCGCGGGACAGAGGGCACACCAGGGCAGGGCTCCCCTCCCTCCCCAGCGCCCCACCTTCCTCCCAGGCCGCGCCCAGCTCTCTCCCCTTTTTGGCCAGACTCAGGTCCTTTCTTAGGCCAGGAACATTCCCTAGTGCCAGGTCGCTGAGAATGACCAGAGGCTAAGGCCATCCGGTGCCCTCCCCCAGTGCCCTCCAGGCAGGTGCCTTGCCCTGAGCCTCTCCACCCTGGGCCCCACTTCCTTCCTTTTTCTTGATTTATTTTATTTATTTTTTTAGACAGGGTCTCGCTCTGTTGCCCAGGCTAGAGTGCAGTGGCACTATCTCAGCTCACTGCAACCTCTACCTCCCCGGTTCAAGCGATTCTCCTGCCTCAGCCTCCTGAGTAGCTGGGACTACAGGGATGCACCGCCATACCTGGCTAATTTTTGTATTTTTAGTAGAGACAGGGTTTCGCCATGTTGACCAGGGTAGGGTGGTCTCGAACTCCTGACCTCAAGTGATCGGCCTGCCTCGGCCTTCCAAAGTGCTGGGATTACAGGCGTGAGCCACCGCGCCCGGCCCCCACTTCCTTTCTAGGGTGGTCTTCCCAACACCCTGCGCTGACCTGGGTTCAGCCCTTGTCCCCATGTGCTACTACTCTGCCCATTCTAACTCTAACGACCTTCCTGCCATGGGTCCATGTGGTCTGTGTCTGTGTTGAATCCACAGTGCCCAGCACAGGATGGGTGCTTCCGAAATGGGTGTGTCATGAAAGCTATTAAACCATCACATTCGGTATCACACTGAGGACACTAGCCCCTAAGGGGCTTTTTACATTTCATCCAGGAAACCCTTATAGGACCAGAGGTCCAGCTGCCCTCTTGCCCCCTTGCCTCACCAGAGGGAGTGACCACATCCACGGGTGGTGGTGGCTTGGTGGAAGAAGCTGTGGGTACATGCATACGTGGCCCTGGTCCCCTTGGGTTCACCCTGTAACCTTAGGACCCTACGCTGGACTCCTAGGGGCCACGCTTTGTAGTCTGGCCCCCATCAGTGATTGCAAGGAGACAAAATATATACTGCACCATGAGAATGCAAGTCACCACCATCATCGAACCCACATCTCTCCCTCCCAAGCAAAAGATCTCATTGGGATGGTGTCTGAGGATGCTCAGGGGAGAGGAGGAGGGCAGCTGACGCCCATCCATGCCCACTTTCTGCCAGGTGTTGTAAATATGTTATTTAGCCTGGCCTCTCAAACTTTCACATCAGCACCAGTCACCTGGATCTTGTTAAAATGCAGACTGATTCATATGGCTGGGGTGGGTCATAAGATGCTGCATTTCTGAGCAGTTCTAGGTAGATTCTATCTTGCCAGGACTCTGCCACACTGGCACTGGGAGGGGGAATCCACATAGCAGTTCTGTGAGCTCATCTGCCTGGTTTTCAAATGAAGAATCTGAGATTTAGAGACATGAAGAAGCCTTGATGAGCAGCGAGGCCAGCACCCTGACCAACTAGCCAAAGAACGTCCCCCAGATCCTAAACCCACTCTCTGTGACCCAGAGAGTCTTCCCGGTGGTTTACACCCCTTAGCTTCCTTTTGTTTTTGAGGCAGAGTCTCCCTCTCTCACCCAGGCTGGAGTGCAGTGGCATGATCATAGCTCATTGCAGCCTCCGCCCCATAGGCTCAATGGATCCTCCTGCCTCAGTCTCCTGAATAGTTTGGACTACAGACATGTGCCACCACACCTGGCTAATTTTTCTGTTTTTTTGTAGAGATGGGGGTCTTCCTATGTTGCTTATACTGGTCTCGAAATCCTGGGCTCAAGCCATCCTCCCGCTTTAGCCTCCTAAAGTGCTGGGATTACAGGCATGAGCCACCGTACTCAGTCATCCTTCCTTTTTTAAAAAAAGTTGACTGAGCGAGGTGGCTCATGCCTGTAATTTCAGCACTTTGGGAGGCAGAGGTGGGAGGATCACATGGAGCCAGGAGTTTGAGACCAGCCCGGTCAACATGGTGAAACCCCGTCTCTACTAAAAATACAAAAATTAGCCAGGCGTGGTGGTGTGTGCCTGTAATCCCAGCTACTCAGGAGGCTGAGGCACAAGAATTGCTTGAACCCAGGAGGCAGAGGTTGCGGTGAGCCGAGATCATGCCATTGCACTCCAGCCTGGGTGACAGAGCAAGACTCCATCTAAAAAAAAAAAAAAAAAGTTATCCCAGTAATACATAGAATTACATGTGTACGAAATATATAGTTATCCTCAAGGAAAACTGATAAAAAATGGAACTCATTCCTATGCCCAGTCCCACTCAGTTCACTGTCCAGAAAAAGAAATATTATCCACAAGTGACTACTAATTCTTTAATTAACTAGATAGCTTAATTGAATAGTTTACTTATAACTTGGGTTATCGCTGTAGAATATGAGTTAAAAGGTTTGGCAAGAGCCACCCAAACCTGGACTGGAAATCAGCTGAGAGGAGCCTCGTCTGCTGAGAGAGAGAGAAAGAAAGTACGGTTCAACTACGAGCCCAGGGAGAGGCAGGAAACCACTTTCTCCCCAGGACTCTCTGCTCCCGTCTTCCAGGGCGTGCTGGACAGGTGAGGGGAAACCCAAACGCGCCAACACCCTCCTTCATGAATAAGTAACAGCCGCCCAGGGCTTTGACTCATTTGTCAATAGATAGTTCCCTTCCTGACAGAGAAGGCAGCACCTTCACACTCACATGTAAGTGACGGAGAAATCAATTGACGATTAATTACAGTGGAAGTTACCAGGAATATAGAATTGTTCTATCAAAACTCAGTGGCTAAGGCGGTATTTTTCAGGTGTACCTCTGTTACGGAGATCAGACCTGCAGCTGAAATAAACCAGAGTGGTGGTGTTTCCTCAAAGAATATGTCTGTCCGATCTTGGGGGGCTTCCAGTTGCGGGGGGTAGCCTGGGAAGACTGGGTCAGAGCCTGGTGTCACCATCCTCCGACTAGGGCGTCATTGCTTCATCTGCGAAACAAGGATACTGACCTCTACAGAGGGCTCTGGTGAGATCCCTGGGTTCCTGGCCTGACACATCGTGGGGGCTCAACTGGAGGTTCTCCTTCTCCTGTCATCTGCTCACCAGCACCCCCCTCCGACTGCCCCCAAACCCACTCCTCAATTCTGGAGTTGAAAGGAACCTTACAAGGCTGGTTTCCTTTACAGATGAGTACTTTGGCAGACTTGAGTAATTGGTTAAAAGTCAGAGGTCTCAGTTTCTTTTTTAAGAGACAGGGTCAGCTGGACATGGTGGCTCACACTTGTAATCCAAACAATTCGGGAGGCTGAGGCGGGTGGATCATCTGTTCAAGACCAGCCTGGCCAACATGGTGAAACCCCATCTCTACTAAAATTACAAAAATTAGCCAGGCATGGTGGCTTGCATCTGTAGACCCAGCCACTGGGGAGATCTGAGGCAGGAGAATTGCTTGAACCCGGGAGACAGAAGTTGCAGTGAGCCAAGACTAAGCCACTGCACTCCAGCCTGGGTGACAGAGCGAGACTCTGTCTCAAACAAAAAAGAGACTGGGTCTTACTTTGTCACCCAGGCTGGAGTGCAATGGTGTGATCATAGCTCACTGCAGTCTCAACCTCCTGAGTTCAAGTGATCCCCCAACCTCAGCCTCTCAAGTAGCTGGAACTACAGGTGCGCACTACCACACCTGGCTAATTTTTACTTTTTTTTTTGCAGAGACAAGAGTCTCACTATGTTGCCCAGGCTGGTCTCAAACTCCTGGCCTTAAGTGATCCTCCCACTTCGGCCTTCTGAAGTGCTGGGATTACAGGCATGGGCCACTGTACCCACCCAGTGGTCTCATTTCTGAACAGGGAAGGGACAGAGGCCCACACAGGGAGTAGGGTTGGGGTAGAGTAAGAAGGGAAAGGAGAAGGGGAAGGTGACTGGGAATTCTCACCCATTCTCACTTCTGCTTTGCGGGTTAGAAACACTGAGTTGCCTCGTCCTCCTGTCTCTGAACTTCCTTCACAGCCCATTGGGACATTTGCATATGTCTCGTTGAAATTCCGGATCACAGCGTCACCACCTCCTCCCCGTGGCCCCCAGAGGGTGACCGGAGCATCACTAGGAGCCAAAGAATGGGGATGAGCAGTGCGGGGTAGTGTTGACCGCCCCAACTTTCCCATGGTGACTCACTCTTATTCAATAGACAGACCATTTTCCTAGAATGTTGCAACAGGGGTATTAGGGTTTTTCCAGAGCTTTCCACTCTCGATTACCCAACACTGAGCCCCTCGTGTGGAACTCGAGGTGATCCCCGCTGGCGATGGCTGGACATTTGCCTCTGGCCTTGGTGTCCCCTTCATCTTGAACTTTCTCAAGGGGCAGAGCCAGCCTCCCAAGATGGGTTCTGTGCACCCCAGCTGTGCCCACAGTAGGCTCTTGGACTGTTTTTCTTTCTTAATACATATTTGTTTAATAGATGGGATGACTGGAAATTACTTATCCCTGACGAAGAAACAGGAAGGCAAACAGTTTTACATTTCTTTTTACAAAAACTATCCTGAGTTTTACCCTGTTCGTCTTTCTTCACTTTAGATTGCTCTAACTCCTAAAAGTCTCAGTGGAGAGATTCTAAACTCTTTTGAGGGTGAGATCCAATCTCCTTCCTCCTTTCTCTCCCCAATCCCTGGTTCATAGTTACGTACTAAGTGCTTAATAGATCTTATTATATTGGATTATTTTAAAAGTCATTATTTTATACAAAAAAATTAGCTGGACGTAGTGGTGGGCGCCTGTAATCCCAGCTACCTGAGAGACTGAAGCAGGAGAATCACTTGAACCCAAGAGGCGGAGGTTACAGTGAGCCAAGATCGCATCATTACACTCCAGCCTGAGCGACAGAGTGAGACTCCATCTCAAAAAAGAAAAAAAAGTTGTTATTTTAAAAGTCAGCCCGTTATAGAGGCAGGCGTATTAGGTATTGTCAATGAAGCCTGGGCTGAGTTTAGGAATTCCGTACCTGTTAGGGTGAATTTGAGCTCATTGCCTTGCCAAAAAGCTCAGTAATGGCTCTGGCAAACTATGGCTTTGTGAGAACTGGTGGAGGGGATTATAATGGTCTTTATGCCAAGGGAAAGTCTACTGCTTGAGCAGAGCACACTGGCTGGTGCCTGTAGTTGCAGGTACTCAGGAGGCCGAGGCAGGAGGATCACTTGAGCCCAGGAGTTCAAGTCTGCAGTGAGTGAGCTACGATCAAGCCAATCCACTGTAGCCTGGGTGACAGAGCCAGACCCTGTCTTTCTCTCTCTCTCTTTCTCTCTGTCTCTCTCTCTCTTTTTTTAGGGGGTGGGGCAGGATGGGATCTGGCTTTGTCGCCCAGGCTGGGGTGCAGTGGCAGGATCTCGGCTCACTGCAATCTCCATCTCCCAATGGAGGTCTGGCCAGATGGGTTCTGCTTTGTTGCCCAGGCTGGAGTGCAGTGTCTTGATCTCGACTCACTGAAACCTCCATCAAGCGGTTCTCCTGCCTCAGCCTCTCTAGTAGCTGGGATTACAGGCGTGAGCCACCGTGTCCAACCTAAGACTCTGTGTCTTAAATTTTTTTTTAAGTCTATTGTTTGAATTCCAGGAAAGGAATTTCATTGTGGGATCACTCTTTATACAGGGTGAGGATCACTTGAGCCCTCCCTGTGAGGGCTTCAATATTCCCTGTGAGTTTACAATAGCTCAGGAAGAGATACTGGAAATTATCACATGGGTACCCCATACTTCAGGGGAGATTTCTCCAAAAAGAAATTCTGGCCAAAGAAAGCTATAGGTTCTAAGAAGGAAAATGGTAAGGTGGACCCAAAAAAATCCACAATTCAGACAATTCAATCACAAAAGATTTCTATGAGAAAGAGGCCAGGTGCGGTGGCTCATGCCTGTAATCCCAGCACTTTGGGAGGCCAAGGCGGGTGGATCACCTGCGGTCAGGAGTTCGTGACTAGCCTGACCAACATGGAGAAACCCCATCTTTACCAAAAATAGAAAAAATTAGCTGGATGTGGTGGTGCACGCCTGTAATCCCAGCTACTTAGGAGGCTGAGGCAGGAGAATTGCTTGAACCCAGGAGGCAGAGGTTGCAGCAAGCCGAGATCACGTCATTGCATTCTAGCCTGGGCAACAAGAGTGAAACCCCATCTCAAAAAACAAAACAAAAAAAAGAGAAAGGAAGTTGGTAGGGGTACAAAATAAAGCACTTATACCTTCTAGGGAGGTACCTTCATATCCTTCATATTTCAACAGGACAGAGAAGAGGGAAGGCGGGAGGAAGGACTCTCAACCACAAGTGAAGGCAAAAGAGCCCCTTGAGCCTGGAGGGAGGGGCTGGGGTACTATTAACCCTCAGCTCCCAGTAAAACCTCTTAGAAAACAAAAATGGCTTGGAAAGTTGTAGTCAGGGCTACAGGGACGAGCGAAGGACAGACCCAGTCCTTAGCTGAGAAGAAAGAATTGTGTCAGATGACAGAAGAGGAAAGAGAATAAAGACCACCATTATTGAGCGCCTACTGTGTCGTGGTGCACCCCCAACGCCTGTCCATCCTAAAGCTCTGTCAATCTCCCAGCACAGACCAGGGGCTGTTGCTTCCTTCCCACCAGGGAGCAACTCAGAAGCCAAGACCCTGCCACTGCTTGAAGCACCTCCCAGGGGAATGCAGATCCTCAGGTTCTACCTGCTCCCCTGTCAAACTCAGAGAGAAAGTAAGGTAAGGGTAGGAGGGATCCAAAATCCAGGATAGGAAGGGCGAGCTGGGAGACTCCACATCCACCTGAGAGTGGGCTGGGCAGCAGAGCGAGACCCTGTCTGGGTAGATGCCAGCCCCGAACCCTCGCCGGCTTTCACCCTTGGCCTGAGATGGGGAGAGGGACAGGAAGATGGCAAATAAGGCCCCTGCGGGCCAGAAACTAGACTGGGGAAACAAGAAACTCACGACTATGTTACTCACCCACAAAACACTGCAGTGAATCACTAAACAAATTCATATATTCTTGCCCTTAGTCAACAAATATCTATGGCATGTCTCTAGCGGCAAGTTATTGTGTTATGGGTATTAGGGATGCAATCTTAAATTAGGATGGGATCTTTCCTAAGGGATCTTAGTAGCTACAAGCAGGGAGATGACGGGACATAATTATTGTAGTGGAAAATATGCTTACCAGAGAAACACAGATTTAAAAAAATGCTACAGGGATTCAAGGGAGAAATAGGTCTTGAATAGTTAGAAAAAGGCTCACTATAGCATCTGAACGTATTTCAGGGAAGGAGCCAGACATGTTCATAACAGGTATATATAACAATGTTTATAAAGACAAAAAATGGAATCCAGTAATATGGGATCTGTTGAATAGGATACGTCCACATGATGCAACACCACCCAGTCAATAGAAATAGGTTATATAGTTTTACATACATTCAATCACATGTGAAGATAGTCATGAAATATGAGTAAGTGAAAAAAGCAGATAACAAAAGAGTATTTAGAGACTGATTGCATTTTTATGAATTTTTGGCATATGTAGTTCGAGATGCTTTTAGAAACTTCCAGAAATGGCAGTGCGCAGTGGTTCACTCCTAGCCCTCTGGGTGGCCGAGGCAGGTGGATCACCTGAGGTCAGGAGTTTGAGACCAACCTGGCCAACTTGGTGAAACCCCATCTCTACTAAAAATACCAAAATTGGGACGGGCCTGGGGGCTCACACCTGTAATCCCAGCACTTTGGGAGGCCAAGGTGGGCGGATCACCTGAGGTCAGGAATTGGAGATCAGCCTGGCCAACATGATGAAACCTCATCTCTACTAAAAATACAAAATTTAGCCGGGTGTGTGGCACATACCTATAGTCCCAGCTACTTGGGAGGCTGAGGCAGGAGAGAATGGTGGGAACCTGGGAGGCAGAGCTTGCAGTGAGCCGAGATCGCACCACTGCACTTCAGCCTGGGCAGCACAGCGAGACTCTATCTCAAAAAGAAAAAAAAAAAAGAAAGAAAGAAAATCGAATACAGCAATCAGGTGACCCAGACGTCCCAGGATTGGGGGGCCTTCGAGGAGGACAGAAAGGCAGGGAAAGAGGTCTGAGGCTCAGAGCCGTGGGAGCAGCTGATGGAAACCAGGATATTTACGGGAGAGAGAGAACCTATGATGAGGTTCACCAGCTAGTTGACGATCAAGTGACTGTCAGCTAGTCAGGGAGATGGCTTCCCTCACCCAGATTAAAGAACACAGGGAAAGAACTTTCCAGGAGGCACATTTCAACTCAGTACAGCGGCAGAAAAGAAAAACATCATTCACCAAGAGCCCTCCGAGTACACAATTCTCAGAGCGGCATCTTTTCCAGCCTCCAGAGAGCCTCTCTCCCGGGTGTTCCCTGCCTCATCACATAGACCAGGTGATGAAGAATCACTCTGAAGCCCCGGGGCCGTCCACTCAGAAACACCGGACTTCGGGAGGAACCACTAGGGACGCTGGATGGGACAACCCCAGGATCCCCCCTGGTTCATTGGAAGCACAGAGGAAATGGGAAGTGACCCAGCAACGTGGTGGCCCTCATCCTGCAGGTGCCGTGAGGAGGGGTGGACCCAGCACTGGCACACAGGACGGGGGGCCCCGTTGAACTCACGACAGCAGCCTGATGACAACACAGAGGAGGAAAGGGATCGAGGGAAGGCCAAGGGGGAGCAGAAAGGGAACTCGAAAGAGAGAAAGAGGGCCAGGTGCGGTAATCCCAGCACTTTGGGAGGCTGAGACGGGCGGAGTGCTTGAGCCCCACAAGTTCAAGACCAACCTTGGCAACATAGGGAAACCACATCTCTACAAAATAAAAATCATCAGCTGGGTGTGGTGGAACACACCTGTGGTCCCTCCGTGGGAGGCTGAGGCCAAGATGAGAGAGTCAAGATGAGGATCACTTGAGCCTGGCAGGTGGAGGTTGCAGTGAGCCAAGATCATGAAACTGCACTCCAGCCTGGGTGACAAAGCAAATCCCTGTTTCAAACAACAAAAACATTAGCCAGGCATGGTGTCGGGTGCCTGTAATCCCAGGTACTCAGGAGGCTGAGGCAGGAGAATGGCTTGAACCTGGGAGGTGGAGGTTGCAGTGAGCAGAGATCACGCACTACTGCACTCCAGCCTGGGCAACAGAGCGAGACTGTCTCAAAAACAAACAAACAAACAAAAACAGGCTGGGCGCAGTGGCTCACGCCTGTAATCCTGGCACTTTGGGAGGCCGAGGTGGGCGGATCACTTGAGGTTAGGAGTTCAAGACCAGCTTGGCCAACATGGTGAAACTCCGTCTCTACAAAAAAAAAAAAAATTAGCTGGGCATGGTGGCGTGCACCTGTAATCCCAGCTAGCTACTAAGGTGGCTGAGGCAGGAGAACCGCTTGAACCTGGGAGGCAGAGGTTGCAGTGAGCCGAGATGACACCACTGCACTCCAGCCTGGGCAACAGAGCAAGACTCAGTCTCAAAAACAAAACAGAACAAAACAAAACAGCCCCAAAACAAAAGACAAACAAACAAACAAACAAAAAAATGAAAAAAAAAAAAAAGAAAAGAGAGAGAGGAGCAAAGGGAAACACACAGGACAGGGAAAGTTATGAATAGATCAGGAAAACGGAGGCCAGAGAGACACAGCAAGGCCTGCAGGGGAGAGTCCGGGAGGCAGGAGCCGGCACGTGGTAGTGGAGGAAGGGAGCTGCCCAGTGTTTGCTGACAGAGAGCCATGGGGGTAAGAGGTAGGGGCAGGAGGCTCCACTGGGATGAGGCAGGGTTTGCCGCAGAGGCTGCTGCTTTGCCCAGAGTCACCTGCAGCGGGTTAGAACCCATGGGACACTCAGTCCACTTGCGAGTCATGCCTGAGCACCCCTGATGTGTCAGGGGCTGCCGGGAAAGCTTTAGAAAGTGAGGAGGCTGCGTCCTGGCCAGCCTGCCAGATTTGCCATCCAGCGTGGTGAACGCCCATGAGCTGTCAAAATGCACAGCACGGCCATCGCGAGGTGAGATATGGGTAGGGCCAACGTGGGAGTCAGGAAGGCCTGAGTACAAATCCCGACCTCACTGCTTCATGCTGTGTGACCTCAGGCAAGTTCCTGAACCTCTCTGAGCCTTAGTTTCCTTCTCTGTTGTGAGGATGTGAAACAGCAGTAGTACAAGCACTGGGCCATCCTCCCACCAAATGTGAGCACGGCCTTAACATTAAAGGGAGCAACCCCGGTCCTAAGTTCTCCCGGAGACCTGCAGAAGAGAAGCTGCACAGGTCAGGATGTCTTTGGGGAGGGACACAGTATTGTCCCCTAAGCAGGGTTCATTCACTACCTGTTCTTTTTTTTCTTTTTTTTTTGAGACAGAGTCTCGCTCTGTCACCCAGGCTGGAGTGCAGTGGCGTGATCTCGGCTCACTGCAAGCCCCGCCTCCCGGGTTCACGCCGTTCTCCTGCCTCAGCCTCCCGAGTAGCTGGGACTACAGGCGCCCGCCACCTCGCCTGGCTAATTTTTTGTATTTTTAGTAGAAATGGGGTTTCACTGTGTTAGCCAGGATGGTCTCGATCTCCTGACCTCACAATCCACCTGCCTTGGCCTCCCAAAGTGCTCGGATTACAGGCGTGAGCCACCGTGCCGGGTCTATTTTTTTTTTTTTTTGGAGACAGGTTCTCACTCTGTTGCCCGGGCTACAGTGCGGTGGCACGATCTCGGCTCACTGCAGCCTCTGCCTCCTGGGCTCAAGTGATCCTCCCACCTCAGCCTCCTGAGTAGCTGGGACCACAGGTACGCACCATTGCGCCCAGCTAATTTTTTAAAATATCTTTTTGTAGAGACGGGGTTTCACTGTGTTGCCCAGGCTGCTCTCTAACTCCTGAGCTCATGATCCACCTGCCTCGGCCTCCCAAAGGGCTGAGATTACAGGCACGAACCACCGCGTCTAGCCTCATTCACTCACTGTTCTAAAGGTGTTGGTTTTGAGCCTACTGATGAGACAGTAGACAAGTCACTAGCACCAATCCATGTAACTTGAGCCTAAATAGCCTGAAAGCGGCGCCCCCAGGGAACCGAGCCTTTGGGCTGTCTGCGTGCCTGCTGAGCGCTAACAAGGCGCCCCGGAGAAGGTGCACGGCTGGGGGCAGCCAGCAGGATCGGAGATATTGGCAGCTGTTGCCGGCTCTGCAGACAGTGGGGAATTCTTACAGTGTCCAGCACTGTGCACATGCCCACAAGTGGCTGGAAAACTCGGCAGGCTGTGGGCAGAGCTGGCAGAGGACAGATTTTGCTGGCCCCAAGAGGGTGAGGCGGGGCCCCCACCCCTGCTGAGTGCTCCAGGCCCCCCACCATCTAGGGCAGCCCTCCTTGGGGCTTGCCACTGTGGGGTGCAAATCCTCCTCTCTTAGGAGCCATCACTGGCCTGCGGCCTGAGCTGCTATCCCGGCCTCCACAAAGGAGGGGGCCAAGCCACCCCGTGAGTCACTGTGCCCACTTCCTGCCACATGGAACCCGTGGCTGAGTCACCGGCCCCCCAAAGGGAAAGACTGGCCACAAGGCCGGAAAGCTGGAGCCCGATCGTGGCAGGAGTGGGGAGCTGGCGTTGCGGTCCCGCTACTCCCTTTTCCGTGAGCTACATACCTCCTGCGGAACCCAGAGTCCTCCGAGCAGCACCCACCCACCTATCGCCGGCAGGACTGGCTCTTTGCTGGTATTTTTTCCTCCAGCAATAATGATTGTATCATACCCTTAAAAACAAAACAAAACAAAAAACCCAACTTTTAATTTTGAAATCATTTCAGGCTTACAGAGAAGTTGCAAAAATACTACAAAGAATGTTCATATACCTTTCACCCAGATTCCCCAAATGTGAACATTTTACATTTGTATTAATTTTCTCTCTCTCCCTCTATCCCCGTTTCTCTCTCTCTCTCTCTTTTTTTTTGAGATGGAATCTCGCAGGCTGAAGTGCAGTAGTGTGATCAAGGCTCACTGCAGCCTCGACTTCCAAGGCTCAAGCGATCCTCCCGCCTCAGCCTCTTAATAGCTGGGACTACAGGTGTGAACCACCACAGCCAGCTAATAGAGAGGCAGAGTCTCACTATGCCACCCAGGTGTCTTAAAATTCTGGCCTCAAACAATCCTCCTGCCTCAACCTTCCAAAGTGTTGGGATCACAGGCGCGAGCCATGGTACCCTCTCCCCATTTTTCCTAAGACATTTCAGCATAAGTCAGAGGCATGATGCCTCTTTACCTTGAAATACTTCCATATGTGTTTGTTTGTTTGTTTATTTATTTATTTTTTGAGACACGGTCTGGCCCTGTTGCTCAGGCTAGCGTGCGGTGGTGCTATCACAGCTCACTGCAGCTTTGATCTCCCAGGCTCAAGCAATCCTCTCACCTCAGCCTCCTCAGCAGCTGGGACTACAGGCTTATGCCACCATGCCCAGCTAATTTTTTTTTTTTTTTTTTTTTTTTTGAGACAGAGTCTTGCTCTGTCACCAGGCTGGAGTGCAGTGGTGCGATCTCAGCTCACTGCAACTTTACCTTCCGGGTTCAAGTGATTCTCCTGCCTCAGCCTGCTAGGTAGCTGAGATTACAGTGTCTACCATCACACCGGCTAATTTTTGTATTTTTAGTAGAGACAGGGTTTCACCATGTTGGCCAGGTGGGTCTTGAACTCCTGACCTCAGGTGATCCACTCATCTCAGCCTACCAAAGTGCTGGGATTACAGGTGTGAACCACCGCACCTGGCCTTAGTGTGCATTTCCTAAAAACAGGCATTTTCTTACAGAATCACAGTACAGTGATCAGCCTCAGGAAAGGCACATTGCATTGGACACTTTTTATGCACCATCTAAGGTGCTCCTTGCTTTACCTGCCTCTAGGGCCAGCCCTGGGGGGGTTCCAGGCTGTACCTGGCCACCTGTGGTGTCCCTGCTGCTGCTGAGCCTGAAACGCTGAGGAGACGCTGGGCACAGTGAGGCTTGGGGTGTGAAGGCACTGTGGAGGCACCTTTGACTAATGGAGATGAGAACTATGGATACATTCTCCCTTCCTCCTGGCATTTATCCTCAGATCCAGGTTATTCTGTCTCTTGGAAGATATCCCGGGAGACAACAGCCAGTCACATTAGATATTCAGGGGCAGGGCTGTCACACAGGGTCCCACACTCAGTGCTTGGGCGTTTAATGCTCTGCAGTCACCTTGAAAAAAAAATTTTTTTTTTTTTTAAACAGAGTCTCTCTCTGTCACCCAGGCTGGAATGCAGTGGTGTGATCTCGGCTCACTGCAACCTCTGCCTTCTTCGTTCACGCCATTCTGCTGCCTCAGCCTCCCGAGTAGCTGGGACTACAGGCACCCACCACCACACCCGGCTAACTTTTTTTTTTCTTTTTTTTAGTATTTTTAGTAGAGACGGGGTTCCACTGTGTTAGCTAGGATAGTCTTGATCTCCTGACCTTGTGATCCGCCTGCCTCAGCCTCCCAAAGTGCTGGGATTATAGGTGTGAGCTATTGCACCCAGCCTAATTTTTGTATTTTTATTAGAGATGGGATTTCACCATGTTGGTCAGGCTGGTCTCGAACTCCTGACCTCGTGATCCACTTACCTCGGCCTCCCAAAGTGCTGGGATTACAGGCGTGAGCCACCACGCCCAGCCATGAAATTCTTAATTTTATCTTGAAAAATTTGAAATTGGCCGAGCACGGTGGCTCACACCTGTAATCCCAGCACTTTGGGAGGCTGAGGCAGGTAGATCACTTGAGGTCGGAAGTTCAAGACCAGCCTGGCCAACATGGTGAAACCCTGTCTCTAGTAAAAATACAAAAATTAGCTGGGCATGGTGGTGGGCACCTGTAATCCCAGCTACTTGGAGGTTGAGGCAGGAGGATCACTTGAAACTGGGAGGTTGCAGTGAGCCAAGATTGGGCCACTGCATTCCAGCCTGGGTGACAGAGTGAGACTCCATCTCAAAAATAAAAAAAGAGAAAGAAAAATATGGCTAGGTGTGGTGGCTCATGCCTGTAATCCCAGCGCTTTGGGAGGCCAAGGTGGGCGGATCGCCTGAGGTCAAGAGTTCAAGGCCAGCCTGGCTAACATGGTGAAACCCCCTTTCTACTAAAAATACAGAAACTAGACAGGCATGGTGGCAGGTACCTGTAATCCTAGCTACTTGGGAGGCTGAGGCAGGAGAATCGCTTGAACCTGGGAAGCAGAGGTTGCAGTGAGTTGAAATCATGCCATTGTACTCCAGGCTGGGTGACAGAGCAAGACTCTAACTCAAAAAAAGAAAAAAAAAAAAAAGAAAAGAAAAATTTGAAATTGAATTTCATATTGAAACTTGTGATTTGTAAGTCGAGCCTGATGGGACAATGGAGCCAGCACAATGGGCTTGGAGCCTCGGCTTTCACATGGCCCAGTGTCCTGCCATCCAGGGGCAGGTTCTCAGATGATGGCTTCCTGTATCCCCCACCCAGAAAACCTGCCACCCTTTTCCACTGTTGGGGTCTGGGCCGAGGTGGAGGGAGAGTCATACCCCATGCACCTCTGAGGGTCTGCACTCATTGTGGGTTCCCACAAGCACAAGCCGAGGTCGTTATTATACCCATTTTCCTGCCAAGGTCCAGGTTTGCTGGACCAAAGAAGGCCCAGTCAGTGTTTCTGCTTTGGACAGAAGCTTGCCCCTTGCCCGGCAGCCTGACTGCCCCTGCTGCCCTTGCTTCTGTCCTTGTGTACTGCACTGAGACGGCAAATTCCTACGTATCCTGCTCTCTGGGGGCACAGGGCCCTGTGGGATGTGGAAGCACAGCCTCTACCTGTCTGAGCCAACTGAATAATCATGACAGCGGTACTTTCCGTGTTTCTGAAGCCACTCACCATGCAAAACCCCCAGCACTTTGTAGGCATCACTTCCAGTGGGTCCTGTTACCCTGCCACCCATTTCACAGACGATATAACCAAGTCTCAGAGAGATTAACCCACCCAAGGTCAGCCACTAATTACTAGAACTGGATTCAAATCCAGTTCTTCTTGCTCCAACGCCAAAGCTCTAACTTGGACACTATTAACTTGGTTGTTAATTGGGTAGCTTCTTTGATCATCTGGAAACAGTAATGGATCTACGTCTTTGAACCACATGAGGACTGTGGACACAGGAAAAGGTGCTGGACATGGACTTGGGAGTTAGGCAGAGCGAGGCCCCTGGAATGATGCTGGTGCTTCAGCCAGGTGGGCCTAGGGTAGGCTCTCTGCCATGGCCAAGCGGGGGTTGGCCCTGGGCTGGGGCCAGTCCTGTGTTCTTCCCGCGGCCCAGTTCCCCCAGCCAGGCAAAGCAGGCCTGAGTCATCGGCGATCGGAGTCCCGGTCCCTGACTCCTTGCTCATACATCATGCATTCCCGTCCTTGGCTCGCAGCAAAACCCTTCTAACTTCTTAGCTCACCCCACCCTCTTCTCTGAAATAAATCAAAGAAGTTTCAAGCTGGGAAGGAGATGACTGAATCTAAGCTTTTCAGTTTGCAAACTGAGGGTCCAGGATTCTGATAGAGGTCCCAGTGGATTGGAAACTGTCTGGGCTTGCCTCCTGGGGTGGTATCTTGTCTCTGCCACCAAGTCCCTGTAAGCCCTGGGCCAATTAGCCTCTCTGAGTCTGAACATTCTCCCGAAGGGGGCTGATCATCATAGCATAATCCTAGCGTCTTCACCGTAGGATGCGGAATCACTGGGAGCGTGAACTACAAGAGTGTTCTGATGCGAGGACCCAGGAATTTCTCCCAACACTGCATAGATCATCTCATCACCCACTCAACAAATCCCCGCCGCACAGAGAGGTATCAGAGACTTTCAGGAACCTCTCTAAGGCAACCTAGCAAGCAAAGCAGAGCTGAGGTCTACCAGATGACTGAGCAGAACCTCTGCCCTTCTCTCCAGACACTGGCCCCAGAGGAGCCGTGAGTACTGGCCATATGCCTGGAGCTCCCGGAGTCCAGGGCTGCAGCCGTCCAGCACTGGGGCCAGCCCCAAGAGAGGAGCAAGGAAACCGACCCCCTCCAGATCAACAAAGCACTTCCTCCCCGAGGCCCGGGCCCAGAAGGAGGAGGTGCAGCACACACAACTGTTTATAGAGACAGATGTTTGGGACGGAAAAAGAGAGACAGCCCTCCTCCATCCCCATGGAGACAGAGGAAGTTTGCAGCTTGGGCAGTGGCAACTGGAACTGAAAAAGGAGAAGGGGAAAAAAGGGAGGGAGGCAGGTCTGACCCACTGGAAAGAGTCTGACATTTTCAGATGCTGGTGCCTAACAAAGGGGCGTTGCCAAGGCAACCGGGCCTGCGGGCACAGGGCTGCCAATCCCAGCTGGATCTGGGGCCAGAGCCAAGGAGATGGTGAGGAGACAGATAAGTGCACGTGGGAGGGCGACAGAGAAATTCCACCGGAGAGCAAATAAATAAGCAAATACACACGCAGCGCCTCCCAGCCCGGCTTCCCCTCACAAAGTGGGGGCCTGTCCCTCCTCTCCCCTTCCCTCCTCTCCCTCTTCCTCCTTCCTTCCTCTCTCCTTTCTCCCTTCTTTATTTTATTCCTTCCCCCTCCCTACCCTTCTATCCATCCTTCCTCCCTCTCTCCTTCCCTTTCTCTCTCCCCTCCCTCCCTCCCTCCCTTCCTCCCTCCCTTCCTTCCTTCCTTCCTTCCATTTACCCTCCCTCTTTCCTTCCTACGTGCTCTGCAAGTGTTCAGCAGTGCCCGTCTCCAGCCTAGGAAACATGTTCCCATCCTCCTGGTGACAGCTGGCAGGTGACTCTGCATGTGACTGATACCAGAGGGCTGCTTTTGCCCATAGAGTGAGACTTCATGAGAGGCC